TTGTGGGGAAAATGGAACTAGAGTATAGATTTACTTTGGTGCAAAAGAAATTGAAATTCATGCATAGTTGTTTTATAATATGCATCTTCCAAAGCTTTTTAAAGGTCTTTCGTGTAACTTTTTAAAAATTAATTAATTAAATTATTTTAGAGAGTTTTTTTTTTTTCTATAGGGTTTAAATTAATTAATTAACTTATTTTAGAGAGGTTTTTTTTTTTTCTATAGGGTACATATGCTTGCTAGAGAGACAGAGAGACAGAAAGTGAGAAATCACCCCCTGGGGGGATGTCCATGCCACAGTCCCTTCTCCTCCATTCTCCTCTCAGGATCTTGGGCATGCACACACATGTGCCTAGTGTGAGTTTAAGCCACCAGGTCTGGGACTTGAACCGCAGTTGACTACATGGGATTCTAGTGACATAGCCATTCTGCAAATGGCTGGTTCCCTACCAGTGGTTTTTATTTTACTAACTTTTAATTGCCAGGGGACTCATGAGCTTGCCTGGAAGAAACAGACAGAGACAGAGGAAAAAGCTCTTCTCAGTGGCCTTGTTCACACTGCAATACCTTCTCCTCCATTTCTTCATCTTGTCTGGACGGTGGAGACCCACACATGTGCCCAATGTGTTTTTTCAAGCTGCCAAGGCCAGGATTCAAACTGCAGTTGGCCATGTGGGATCAGCTCCCTTAACCATGGGACCACAGATGGCCATGTGGAATCAGCTCCCTTAACCATGGGACTGCAGAGCCGGCTCTGTGTTTCTTAATTTTACAGTTCTACTCCATTTTATGAAGTACATATTAGAAACTTTTATATATGTTTTTCTTATTATGTCTTCATATCCTTGTTCTATCTCTCGCACTTATTTGACAATTTGAGCTGATATTTCTGTCTCATCATCTGCTGACATTTGCTCATAGAAAATTGTTCCCTTTGAGTTCTGTTTTGGAAGATGAGTTTAAGTGGGGCTTTATCCATAAAAATACTGTGTAGTCTGGGTTTCAGGAATATTCTGTCTAGGACATTTTGCTTATTTGTTTCTATCAGGCCTCACAAAAATACTATAGGTTTGTAACCAGTTATGAAGTTAATTTGTGGCTTAGAGGTACTCATACGTCTAACTAAAATAAATACTACATCCACTTGAAAACAGAATATTCACAAAATATTTCTTCCCACCCAAAGCCACTTATGGCAATTTCAGTGTTGTCTCCTCCTTTTGCACCTTCTTTTGTATCTAAGACCTCTTGTCATCAGTTTGCAGTGCTTCAAAGGATATGATTCTGGCCCAGCTGACATCATACACCCTGGATGCTGCTGCTCGGAAGGCTGGGGCTGTATGGGAGGCCTGCGTTTGATTCCTGGCCCACCCTAAAAGCCAAGTACAGTGGCATGCTGCCTGTAGTTTTAGCTCCTTAGGAGACTGAGGCATGAGGATTGCAACACAGTGAGGCCCTATCTAAAATAACACACACACACACATATATATATGCACACACACGCACACATAGAATCTAATTCTATATGAGGATTTTGATCCTGATTCCTTGCTTTCTTAATCTCAAGTCTTGTCTCTACGAAGTGGTCGTTACAACTCAAATCTTGACTCCTGTGGTCAGAAGCTCCCCTCCTAACCCTGAAACTGCTTTGTTTTTCAGTTCTCTTATGTTTTGGGGCCCTTGGAAATTCTTCTGCTTTATTGAAATTTTACTAACGGAATGTTTTCTACTCTCCCACCAGAATTTCTAACATCAAACTTTCTGTAGTGAAAGATTTTCCTGTGTCTAGTCTACTATGTTTTTGGAAATGACAGTAACTTTGTGTGGAGATTTTTGTTTTGTTTTTAAAATTTGGTAGGGAAAACATTCTAAACCTCAACTTTTTTTCCAAGGCGTGTTGGCTTTAATTTATTTTTATATTTAAAATGTAATCTATTCACTAAGGAATAATGGGTATATAAAATACTCATGATATTGCTTTAAGCAATGTTATGTTTTCCACGATAAAATGACAAACTCTAAACAAATAATATTAACCTTAATGATGTTCTTAGTTGATTGATGCAATTATGTGCTAAAAATGACGTGTTTTAGAAGAAATCCTTACTAGTCAGCAGCAACAATGACTAAAACTATCTCATGAATCAGGTAACTTTTTCTGGCTTGAATTTTTTTCCGTTTACCTCATCATGACTAGTGTGTATTCTTTGTTTTGCATTAGCTTTTTGCCTTAGGGCATGTGCGCTTGCAGCATTGGGGGGAAAGAGAGAGAGAAAGTGAGAAATCTCCCCCAGGTGAGATGGCCATGTTGCAATCCCCTCTTCTTCATTCTCCTCTCAGAAGATTGGGCACACACATACACATGCCAGATTGCCGAGTCCAGGACTCGAAGAAAGCACAGAGTTGATCATATGAGATCAAGTCGCCTTAACCACCATGCCACCTGCTGGCCCTGTTCTTTTTAAAAAGCCAGAATTGTTTATTCTTTTTTCAAAGTATATTTATTTATTTTTTCTTCTGAGAGCGAAGGACATCACCCCCAAAAGGGTCCCGAGCTGCAATCCACCCCCAGCTGTGCCTTTAGCCAGATCTGGATCACAGGCACAGCATAGTCGGTTCTTAGTACGGTAATTACCAAGGCTTGTCTGTCTTGGTGGAGAAAGTGACCCTCTGACTGTGCCCAGGTCCCTGAGCGGGAGCAGCAGAGAAGCCGTTTTGACGAAGGCATGAAGGGAAGCCCAGAATGCTGGAGTCAGGTGGCAGAAACATGAACAATGAAAAAGGACTCTCACTCCTCCGTGATGCTGCTCAGTATTGCCCATCTCTTCTTTGTGGAGAGATTTATTTTTCACTCTAGGGCGCGTGCGCTCGCCAGACAGAGAGAGACATAGAGACAGAAAGTGAGAAATCACCCCCCGGAGGGATGGTCACGCCACAATCCCTTCTCCTCCATTCTCCTCTTGGGATCTTGGGCACGCATGCACACGCGCCCGGCGTGAGTTTTAAGCCACCGGGTCCAGGATGCGAACTGCGGTCGACTACGTGGGAGTCCAGCAACAGCCATTACGCTAACTGCTGGTTCTCTTGCCCATCTCTTCTCTATTCAGAAACATTTCCTTTTTGTCTCACACATTGTTATCAGGAAAGGCCATTTTAGGTACCAGTTCAGAGTTGCACCTGGGGATTTTCTGGGTGTTGTCGAGTCAGGTGTTTCAGGCTAGCTTGTCCATAAAAGCCAGGGATCATCATTCTGCAGCAAGTCGTAGCCTGCCTCCCCTGTGCACACTGGCAGCTGTACTCCAAATACAGTGTCCATATGTCTCCCTTCTGAAAGAGCCTACAGCTAGTCATCTAACAAAGCAGGCTCCTCTTAGTGACATAGAAAGGAGCAGGCAGTCCTCAAATCCTCCTTCCTCACTTGCAATCTCTGTACTCGGGGAGAAAACAGAATCCCTTTTATTTTTATTTCTTTATTTGTTTATTTATTTTTGAGGGATTTTTTTGCTTTAGGGTACATGCACTTGCCAGGATGACAGAGCCAGAAAGCAAGCAACTCCCCAGGGTGGATAGCCACACCACAATCCCTTCTCGATTCTCCCCTTGGGATTTTGGGCATACTTACACATGTGCCCAGCATGAGTTTCAAGCTGCCAGATCCAGAACTCAAACCATGATCAGCCATGTGGGAGTCCAGCACCTTAACTACTATACTACCTGTTGGTCCCTTATTTTTATTTTTTAATTGTCAGAGGTGTGTGTGCTTTCCAGAGAAAGAGAGAATGAGACAAGGGGGAGGGTAGAGAAAGCATCCCCCAATGAGGCATAAGTGTGCCACAATCCTTTTTCCTCCACTCCCCCTTGTCAGAATTTTGTGCATGCAAACATAAGAGCCTGATGTATTTTTTTCAAATAGTTAGGTGTGTGTGTGGTGGAGAGGGGGGGGATTTGAACTGAATTGGCCATATAACATCTGACTCCCCTAACCACTAAGTACCAAACTGGGCCCAGAGTCTCATTTTGAGATAATCGTGTATTTAGTTGAATTAATCTGTAGTGTGAGAGGTTTTTTTGTTGTTTATTTTAGAGATATTTTTGCTATAGGGCTTGTGGGCTCACCAGAGAGACAGAAAGAAAGGGAGAAAGCAAGAAATTAGCCCCTGCGGGGATGGCCATGCTGCAATCCCTTCTCCTCCATTCTCCTCTGGGGCTTTTGAGCATGCACACACACATGCCCAGTGTGTTCTAAGCCATTGGTCCAGGACTCAAACTGTAGTAAACCATGTGGGGAGTCCAGTGACATAACCATCACACCACCTGCAGGTCCTGTGACTGCTTTTTATAGTGTTTGCAGTTTACTTATTCAATACTTTTCTCTATGTGCCTCTGTCACTTTTGAAATTCATGTTTTGGTGTGAATTTCATTTTTTCTTCATATAGTGGCTAATTTCATTTAAAAGTAAATATTTAAAGTAAACATTTAAAGTAAACAAATATAGTGACAAGTGTAACATTTTGATATTTGTTTCTACCCTAGTGATTTTTTACCTTAACAAGTGAATTCAATTTTATTAAGAGCCATAGAGACAGTAAAAAGGATTTCTTATTCTAGGTACGCTTCTAGGCATTCTGGGTTCTATTCTTGAAACAAGATAAATTGATCCAAGAAAGCTACATATTTGAATGCATTTAGAACCTCTACTGAAAACAGTAAATACATGCAGAGTTATAAGCACCTTACTGACATGAGCGTAGTTAGGTCTGAAAGTCAATACAAGAATAAATAATAGTTTGTGATAGTTTAAGTTCCTTCCGGGACCGACTTCAGTGATTATATTGTAATCTGAAAGTGGGGGATATATGGTATTGAACAGACATTCAAGTGTTTCAAACTGCTTATTATGTTTGGGGAATTCCTGATCTTGGTTTGGATGGTAGAAGTTAATGATCTACTACAGGAGCTAAAAAACGCCAGATGTTGAGTTTCCCTTCCTCTTTTGCAGATAGAGCATAGGCATGTGACCTAGGCTCTACCAATCAGAAGCTGCCTGGCAGGACGTGACTCTCCAGCTGCATAAAGCAAGGTTTGGAGAACTGTATTTCTGCAGCTGGGAACGGCCATTGTTGTGACATGGGAAGAAGTAGTTTCGTCTCCAGAGCAGTTCTAGAACATACTTCAGTGCATTTGTCCTAATGCCTTAGCCTTGTATCTGGATCTCTAGCCCCTGTGGTGGATTGAGGGAGCTACCCTCATATCTTTTTAGTGAATTACTACTTGTTTGCTTAACTCAGCTGGAGATGTCCTATACTTCTTGCATGTAAGCATCCGGACTAACAGCTATTTCTTATGTACTTTATTTAAGGAATTAAATTAACTTAAAATGTTGCCTTATGAAATGGCACTATGATGCTTGTCGTATTTTCCTTTGTATTTTTCTTGACAGCTAAAGAGCTCAGAATCAAATTTGAAACTTGAACATCTGCTGTGGTATACCACAAAGGAGTTTAAAAAAAGAAAAAAAGCATTGCGAATCTTAGACATAGATGAATGGAATGAAAAAATAAATAGAATGAAAATCAAAGGTACACAATGTAATGTAATATTCTTTGGTGAAGATAATATAATAAATGTGGTGGTATCTTTGATTCAGTTATCACATACCGTATACATGTTTTGAAAAACATATTGTACTCATAATGATGTATAACTAAATGTAAATAAGAAATTTACATTTCTTATTCCATTCTACACTAAAAAAAGAAACTCAATATAACATAGAGAGTAACTTCTACAATTAGAGAAACTTGCTTATTTACTTTTGCTTTTCTCTCCAATGTTTTCCATTTATTTTAATTGTATTATCATGTCATTGGTTGTAAGGAGCCGATAAGGCAACTCCACGGTGTTTTCGGGCCCATGTGAGTTCTCCATCTTCTCATCCTTTCATGTGGCAAGTCCCTAAGACGCAGTCTTCTTCCCTTTTAGCTGCTATTACCCTTTCTTTCCTCTTTTTTTTTTTTTTTTTGAGAGGTTTTTGCCATAGGGCACGTGCGTTCGCCAGACAGACAGAGAGAAACATAGAGACAGAAAGCGAGAAATCACCCCCAGGGTGGATGGTCACGCCGCAATCCCTTCTCCTCCATTCTCCTCTCGGGATCTTGGGCACACACTCACATGCGGCCGGCGTGAGTTCTAAGCCAGTGGGTCCGGGATACGAACCGCAGTCGACTATGTGGGAGTCCAGCGACATAGCCATTACGCTAACTGCTGGTTCCCCCTTTCTTTCCTCTTCTGTTCACCTGCAAGGGAGGATGATAGAATAATGTAGCCTCCCACACCCTTTACTCCCTTTACTTTCACTCCTAATAAAAGCCTATTTAAGGGTGTTACAGTTCAGGACCATAGAAAAACTACAGCAAAATACAAGCAGCCAAGATTCTAAAATGTGGCAATTCTGTGCTTGAAGTCTGAGTCTCAAATAGTCAAAGTGCTATTAGGATTCTGTGACCCCGGGACCAGCAATTAGCATAAAGGCTTTGTCACTGGACTCCCCTATAGTCGACTGTGGTTCAAGTCCCGGACCGGTGGCTTAAATTCACGCTGGGCAGGTGTAAGCGTGCCCAAGATCCTGAGAGGAGAATGGAGGAGAAGGGATTGAGGCATGGCCATCCCCCCCGGGGGGTGATTTCTCACTTTCTCTTGGTCTTTCTGGTGAGTGAACATGCCCTGTAACAAAAAAAAAAAAACCTCTGAAAAACAAAAAAAAGATTCTGTGATCCTTTTAATTTTTAAGCTTTATTAAACGTCCTCCTACACTATGAAACTTAAAATTGTCTTTGTTATACAATAGGGAAAAAACTTTAAAACAGCTCCAGAGCTAGCTCAGATCACAGTTTAAACGCTGTCTATAGGAAGCCTGATCCCACATGGCCAGCCAGTTTGAATCCCAGTCCCCGTGGCTTGAAAAAACCATGCTGAGCACTTGTGTGTTCACCCCAAATCTTACTAAGATAGAGAAATGGAGGCAAAGAAGGAAAAAGATTACAGCATGGCCTTATTCTCTTGAGGGATATTCTCTCTCACAAACAAGCACACATGCTCTCTGGTGCAAACAAAAGTAAGTAAGCTAATTTTTCTAACTGTAGGAGTTACTCTCTCTGTGCTATACCATGTTTCTTTTCTCTTTTATATTTTATAACTATTATCTACATTTAGTCATTTATCTTTTTAAAATAAAATATGGTTTTTTCAAAGTATGTATGAAGTACGTGATAATCAGATCAAGAATATTACCATATTTGTAGTCTTCAGCAAAGAACTTTACAGTATGCTGTGCACTTTCAGATGATCAGGTTTCTAATTTGATTCTGCACGTTCTAGCCATCAAGAAAAATACACTGGAAATATTAATTTAAAAAAATTTTTTAGATTTTCATCATAGGGTGTGGGTGCTCTCTGGAGAGAGACAGAGAGAGAGGTAAAGTGACAGCTCATTCCCCAGGGGGTATAGTCATATTGTAACCCCTTTCTCCATTCTCCTCTGAGGATATTAGGTACGCGTACACACTCTGTTGGTGTGATCCCTAAGCTGCAGGGTCTGGGACTTGAACCGTAGTTAACTATGAAGGAGTTCAGTGCCTTAACCACCATATCACTTGCTGGCCCAGCATGCATAGGGAGGCCTCCAAATACAAACTCAGGTCTCACGTGACCTCAGCATTGTGGAGTATTCTGTTATAGCTGTGCTGCCATGGCTGACTGATTAGTAAGCCACTTTGCATATATTTCAACTTTGGAGAAATGTCTATTCAGACTTTTGCCCAGTTTTTAATTTGATTAGTTGTTGTGGCATGGTAAAAGTTCTTCTATATACTTGAGATATCAACCCCTTGTCAGACATACGGTTTGCAAATGTTTCCTTTCATTTAATAGGTTGCTTTATCACTCTATTAATTGTGTCCTTTGATGCACAGAAGTTTTAAATATTAATTCAGTTCCAGTTGTGTATTTTTGCTTTTATTGCCTGTATTTTTGGTGTTTCATCTAAGAAATCTTTGCTAAAGCCATTTTTATGAAGTTTTCCCCCTTATGTTTTCTTTTAGTAGTTTTAGTATTTGGTATTATATTTATGTTTTTAATCTATTTTTAATTAATTTTTGTATATGGCATAAAATAATAATCCAACCTCACCTTTTTGTATGTAGATGTAGAACTTTTCCAATCATGTTTATTGAAGAGACTCTTTTTCTCATGGAGTGGTCTTGGTGCTCTTCTGAAAATCATTTGACCATGTACACAAAGGTTATTTATGGGCTTTCTATTACATTGGTCCATATATCTATCCTTATGCCAATACTATACTGTTTTGATTACTGTAACTTTATAATATGTTTTGAAATCAGGAAATGTGAGACTTAAACTTGGTTCTTTGTTTTTAAAATTGTTTTGGCTATTTGGGGTCTTTTGAGATTCCATGTGAATTATATGGTAGATTTTTCCATTTTTACAAAAAGTGTCTTTGGGATTTTGATAGGAATTGCACTGTATCTAAGATAATTTTTGATAGCAGTGATGTCTTTTCATATTTAGGTATTTGCCTTGGGGCATGTGTACTCACCAGATAGAGACAGAGAAAGAGGAAAAGTAAGAAAACACCCCTGGGGAGATGGTCACACCCTATGATCCCTCTCCTCCAGTCTTCTATTGGGATTTTGGGCACATGCACACATGTGCCCAATGTGATTTTCAAGCTGTCAGGTTTGGGACTTGAATCACATAGTCAGCCATGTGGATTCCAGTGCTTTAACCTCCACACCACCTGCTGGCCCTGTTATGACCCACTTAAAACATGGACTTTTTCACCTTATTTTTATATGTTTAAATGAAGGGAACTTTGACTTAGAATAGCATTTTCTTTTTTTGCAACTTACATCAAATAAATGTGAAGTCAGAGAAATGAGATATTATGTACCTCCTGATGGAAGAACTCATCATTCCCTCTGAAGTAGGCTTGGTGAAAAGATGAATTTTTCTAGATTCAACATAGTCATTTATAGAAAATACAAAGAAAAAAATATTTATTTAATTTTATTAATTTATATTATTTTCTTGTTTGCTACAGGGCAGGACACTCACCAGAGAGGGACAGAGAGAGAGAGAGGGAAAGTGAGAAATTAAGCTGCCAGGTCTGAGACACAAGCATGATCAGCCATGTGGGAGTCCAGTGTCTTAGCCACCACATCACCTTCTAGCCCCACAAAATATTTTAAGCTACACTGTGACGTGCAATTAGAATAATCTAGACTGTATATTTTCTCAAGGAAAAAAAATTGGGTTTCTACAACAAATACATTTAAAGGAGAGAAACAGAAAGAGAGGAGAAAGGAAAAATGAGAGCCAGCAACAGACAGAGTGAGCCTCCAAATTAAAAGAAACAAAACATATAATTAACCAATTGTAATGTAATTTAATTGGATCCTGATTCACATAAATGATGTGCAAAAAATGACATTTATTGGAGCTGGCGGGTGTTGTAGTGGTTAAAGGCACTGGACTCCCACATGGTGGACTGGAGTTCAAAAAACAAACAAAAAGAATATGATGAACCCTTACCCATTACCAAGCTTCAAAAATTATCCTCTCATAGGTACTTATTTCTTTTATAATCTCATCTGCTATCCTTTCTCTACATGATTCTGAAGCATTTTCTCATATATAATTTCATCCATGATTTTTTTTTTTTTCCGGAGAGGTTTTTATTATAGGGTGCATGTGCTCGCCAGAAAGACAGAGAGTGACAGAGAGACAAAAAGTGAGAAATCACCCCCCAGGGGGGGATGGCCATGCCGCAATCCCTTTTCCTCCATTCTTCTCTTAGGATCTTGGGCATGCCCACACACATGCCCCCCGTGAGTTTAAGCCACTGGGTCCGGGACTTGAACTGTGGTTGACTACATGGGAGTTCAGTGACATAGCCATTACACCAACCGCTGGTTCCCATCATATTATTCTTTGCATTGAAGTTGAGTTTCCTATTACTGCTTCAGTTTTGGAATCTTGATTCTTACAGGAAAGGAGTCTGTAAACTAAAGAGAGGTAAAAAAAGGCAGCTAGTGAATACATCATCACATTCCAATGTGTACAATTTTAAAAGCTGTATCATCTGTAAAATTGAGGGCATAGTTTGAAAACACGGACAATTTCCTGTCAATTTTCCCTAAATGAAATCATCAAATGTTTTCATATTTTATTTTGGAAAATGTGCTCTGTCAGAAAATACTTATGAAATGAGATGCATGTCCCTTTTTTAGTTATATACTGAATTCTGAAACACATGTGCATTTTTTTTGAGAAGTTTTTGTTATAGGGCGTGTGCGCTCGCCAGACAGACAGACAGAGAGAGACAGAGAGACAGAAAGTGAGAAATCACCCCCCAGGGGGGATGGCCATGCCACAATCCCTTCTCCTCCGTACTCCTCTCGGGATCTTGGGCACGCACGCACACGCGCCCGGCGTGAGTTTTAAGCCACCGGGTCCGGGACGCGAACTGCGGTTGACTACGTGGGAGTCCAGCGACATAGCCATTACGCTAACTGCTGGTCCGTATTTTCATATCTGTACTTTTTCAAAAATCATTTCCTCAGGATCCTGTTAGTATGACTGGTGTTCAATTTCCACGGTTGTTCAGTTTAAACTACTAATTGAGGTAAAATGAACTTTGGCTGCTGCCTTAGTCCACTTGGGCTGCTGAAACAAAATCTTAGACTGGATAATGTAAAAATAGGAAAAAAAAAAAAACCCTCATGGTTCTGGAGCTCGAGGTGCCAGCAGGTTCAGTGTCTAGTCATGGCTTGGTCTCTGCTTCACAGATGGCACCTTCTAGCATGTCCCCACATGGCAAAAGGGCCAACCAAACAAGCTCCCTGTGACCTCTGCAGAGAGGTTACGAATTTCATTAATGAGGAAGATATCCTTACGCTCTAATCACCTCCCAAATTGCCCTGCTCTCTCTGAGAAAGTTACACGACATAATGAACAACAGAAAGATGTAAATTACTACTAAAACATAGAATGTATTTTATGTTTTTTTCCAATCCAAAATTTAGTACTTAGAATTCCTAATTTCTTCCACCCTAGGTACTTTTTCAATCTTATTCCACCTTAATTAGCCTTTACCACAGCTTAAGGTAACAAGGGAGCATGAACTGAGAAAACAGGAGAGAAGGTAAGGCATGGCATATCTAAACATATGCATTCCTTCCTTGGAAAATGTGCACTTTTGTTTTCTGCCATGCCAGAGCTTTTTACCAGGAATTGAACTGATACAGAAAGCCAGATGCCAGACTCCAGACTTCACCTCCGTGGTTTTGTTTTTGTTTTTGTTTTTTTTAATTTGCTAGAGGGAGCATGTGCTTGCCAGAGAAAGACAGTGCAACAAAGAGGAAGGAAGCACTTTCCAATGGGCATGCTCACACTGTAATCTTTTTCTCTTCTGTTTCTCCATTTGGTCAGGATTTGGGGCACGCACACACATGCACCTGGTGCATTTTTCAAATTGTGGAGGCTAGGATTCAAACTCTTCAGATGTCATGTGGAATTTGGCTTCCTGAACCACAGTGGTCAGTAGGCCATAAAATACAGTAGTTGAGAAAGCTCTGATGAACTTACAATAATTATTTTTACTCATTTTTCTTCTCTCCAATCTGGCAGAGGAAGGGATAAAAGGTTGTTAATATTTACTCTCAATTGCTCAAGGCAGATCTTAGTTGCAGTTTGATAATTAAGTTTTTTTTTTCTTTTTAGCGTGCCTACTAATGTATACCCCTGTGCAAAAGGGAAAAAAATAAGCTTTGTTCTCTATTTAATAATGTAGGATCTAACTTATCAGCAGTAAATAAAGTGAGAAAAGATAGATATAACACTTTGCTGAGTGACTTACTATAGTGTATCTCTGCCAACAGATGGACAGGTTCCCAGCACCAGTGGCATAGACAACGAATGGAATGATAGTGCTGTATGCAGGTGAGAGATGAGAGTGGCTCAGACTGGGATGGAGGCAGTATCTACAGTGATCAATAGTTTCTTGATACATTTTGGTGGTTGAGTGAATATGTTTCCTGGTTTAAGCATAGTTTTTTGTTTTGTTTTGTTTTAGGTTTTTGCTATGGGGATGTCTACCTGCCAGAGAGACAGAGAGGGAAAGTGAGAAATCCACCCCTCCCACCCCCCGAGGAGAATGGCCATGCAATAATCCCTTCTCCTCTTGGGATTTTGGTCACACATGCACATGTGCCTGATGTGATGTTCAAACTGCTGGGTCTGGGACTCAAACCATGGTCAGGCAAGTGGGAGTCTAGCACCTTAACTACCATGCCACCTGTTGGCCCTCAAATGTAGATTTTGAATAAAAGAATCACAACTACTTCATGTTTTCATTCTGAGGAACTGAAGGATGGAACTTATAACAACTGAGATGGGAGAATAGAAGTGAGAAGGCTGAGAAGTGACCCCAGAGAAATGAGAGAAGATAGAGAAGGCCAAGGACTGAGCCCTGGGCAGGTAACATTGAGACACTGGAAAGAAAAGAAGGATGCAGCAAAGGATACTGAGAGGGAGCAACCACTGCAGTAGAAAGAAAATTGAGTGTGATGTCTTGGAAGCCAAGTGAGGAAAGCTTCTCAATGAGGATGGAGATATCAAGTGTTCCATTTACTGCTGATTGGAAAAGGGTGAAGTTCGAGAACTGACCATTAGATTTAGTAGAGATGTTCCTGTGAATAACTTTGCTGGTGTTGGAGGTAGGGTGTTGGTAAGATCTGAAATGGGCTACAGCATGGAGGAGAGAAATCGGTGGCAGTGTTTTAGTCTGTTTTCTGTTGCTATAACAGAACACCTGAGACTGGGTAATTTATAAAGAAAAAAGATTTACTTAGCTCATGGTTCTGCAGACTGAGGAGTTTAAGATTGGGTGGCCACATCTGGTAGCTTCTGATAATGGCCTCATGCTATACCAAAACATGGCGGAGAAGTGGAAGGGAAAATTCAGTGGGCAAAACGAGAAAGGCAACCTCACTTTATTTCAACTTATTTCTGTTCTTGGCGTGGGGTTAAGTTGCTGGACTTCCACATAGCGGACCACAGTTCGAGTCCTGGACCTGGCAGCCTAAAACTCGCACTAGAAGTGTGTGTGTGCATGTCCCAAAGGGATTGTGGTATGGCCATCCACACTCGGGGATGATTTCTCCTTTCTCACTGTCTCTGTCTCTCTGGCAAGTGCACGTCCCAAATAGCAAAAACAAAACAAAACAAAACAACCAAAAAAACCCCCCACAACAACAACAAAAAAACCCCAAACAACTTACTCTTGTGGTAATTACTATAGTTCACAAGAGCAAAAACTCACTCGGTACCTTAAGAACAGCACCAGTCCTCCCATAGGGATGAAGCCTTTATCATTCAAACACATTTCACTAGGCCCTACCTCAAAAGTTCCACTTCTGAACATTGTTGCATTGACAATCAATTTTGAGTTTCAGAAGGGACAAGCCATTTCCAAACCATATGAATAAATAACTCTTCAAGGGGTTTTATTCCAATGAAGGTAAAGAAATGAGATAGCACACAGAATTTGGGTCAAGAATTTTATCTGTGAGTCAGCCCCATAGCCTAGCCGTTAAGGAAGCCAGATTCCATATGGCCAACTCCATTTCAAATCCCAGTTCCAAGTGCATGGAAAGCATGTTGGGCACATATGCTTGTATGCCCACAATCCTGATGGGAGAGAGGACTAGAGGAAAGAGAACTGCACATGTCCCATTGGGAGGTACTTTCTTTCTGGTGAGTGCATGCACCCTTTGGTAATGAAAGAAAACAAAAAATAATGGATTAAATAAAGCATATTTGTGTGCCGAGAGAATGATCCAATAAGGGAAAAAATAATTATAAAAGGGCAGCTGCTAGAGTGATGTCCTGGAATTAGGTGAGAGGTGTGGGATCGGGTGCATGAGATCCACAGGGAGAAACATCCATAACAACAGTTCTCGAGTTGTGGCTCCTTGACCAGTGGCATCACCTGGAACTTGTTAGAAACGCAAATTACCAGACCTTTCTTGAGTTTCTGAAACTCTGGGCTGGGGTCATGCAATCTGCTTTGATAAGCAGGTGATGATTGAGAAGTATCCCCACAGACGGTAAGGAGGGAGAATGGGACAGAATTTGAGGTAAGGAGACGAGGGGTCTTTGAAAATTCTCAACTCCAGCTTCGGTTTTGCCTGTGAAAACATAGATGACCAGCAAGTGCTTGGTGGTTAAGGTGCTGGATCCTACACAGTCAACAGTGTGGTTCAAGTCCCAGACCCAGTGGCTTGAAGAATACACCAGGCAAGTGTGTGTATGTGCCCAAAATCCAATGGGAGAATGGAGAAGAGATTATGGCAAGGCCATTCCCTCTGGGGTCTGAGGGTGATTTCTTTCTCTGTCTTCTTCCAGTAAGCACATGTGCCCTATAGTGAAAAACAAAACAAAAAACAAAAAGAAGGAACTATGGGGCTAGCAGGTGGGATGGGAGTTAAGGCCCTCCCTAGACTCCCACATGGTAAACATGGTTTGAGTCCTGGACCTGGTGGCTTGCTTTTCCATTTTCTCTTTCTCTCTCATCTCTCTGATGAGCACATGTGTCCAATAGCAAATATAAATAGTAATAATGATAAAAAAATTTAAGAATTTTTTTTTTTTTTTTTTTTTTTAACTAGAGTCACATGCTAAATGTGAAAATGGTGGAGGAATTTGGGAAAGCTGATGAGTTTTAAGTAGGAAAGAAATACAATCAGATTGTTATTTGTGTTTTATTTGTTGAACTTGTGCTAAATACAAGGAACAGAGGACCATACACACCAAAATGATAAAAGACATGGCTCCTGGCTTTAGGGAGACTTACACAATAGGAAAGTTAGATATCTACACCTGAACAACAGCTCTTTAAATATTTGAAGTTCTCACAAAAGTCTTTTCCTTTTCAGATAGATTTTTAAAAATAGTTTTTATTTAATTTTACTTATTCATTCATTTATTTTAATTTGATGAGAGATGGACAGAGAGAGAGAGAGAGAGAGGAGAGGAAGAGAGAGAAAGTGAGAAAGCAAACCGCGAGGTCCAGGTCTCGAACCACGGTCGGCCATGTGGGAGTTCAGCACCCTTAACCACCATGCCATTTGCTGGCCCCTTAGATTTTTTTGCTATAGGGTGCATGTGCTCATTGGAGACAGAAAGCAAATCACCCACCAGGGGGTAGGGCCATGCTGCAATCCCTTCTCCTCTGTTCTCCTCTCGGGATCTTGGGCATGCATGCACACACACCCAGTGTGAATTTAAGCCAATGCGTCCGGGACTCAAACCATGCTGACTACCTGGGAGTCCAGCAACGTAACCATTACACCATCTGCTGGTCCCTCAAAGTCTTTTCTTAAATGGTCAGATATATTCATTTAGCATTACTTACGTGGCATGGTTTTCCCAGTCTCTTCACCCTTCTATTGGTGCTTTTCAGGTCAATGTTCCCCTGAAAGGTTGTGCCGACAACTGAATACTATCCCAGACATAACTAACTTATCAGAATTTAATGCCAAGAATCAGATACTTTATGCAGTGTTCATTTGCTGCTATGAAGCCATATCTCCTCTGCTTTCCACATCTTATTGTAAATTGGACAAGTTAAAGGAGTGGATTCATATGAAAGAGCTTGAACACCACAGAAAGATAGGAAATAGAAAGGTGATCTTTTGATTCAGACCTCAGAGGTTATCACTAAATTTCTTCCCAGAAACCTCCTATGATTATAAAGCATAAATACGCTATTAAAAACCCACATGAGGGACCAGCAGGTGGTATGGTGGTTTGGGCACAGGACTCTCACATGGCTGGTTCAAGTTCTGGACCTGGCGGCTTAAAAATCATGCTGCATCTGTGCCCAAAATACCAGAAGGAGAATGAAGAAGAAATTATGGAGTGGCCATCCCTCCTGGGAGGTGATTTCTCTTTTCCTCTCACTGTCTCTCTCCATTGAGTGGACGTGCCCAGTGGCAAAAAAAAAAAAAAAAAAGCAAACCCACAAGAAATGCACACTTATCTTACTCTGCATGTTTTTCTTAGTTCCATTTCTATAGCAGCACTTCATACTAGTACATAGAAAAATACATCTCTGGGGACCAGCAGTTGGCATAATGGCTATGTCGCTGGATTCCTATGTAGTCGACCACGGTTTGAGTCCTGGACCTGGTGGCTTAAAACTCAGGCTAGGTAGTGAGTGCCCAAGGTCCCAAGAGGAGAATGGAGAAGGGACTGCGGCGTGGCCATCCCCCTGGGGAGTAATTTCTCGCTTTCTGTCTTTTTCTGGCCAGCCCACGTGCCCTATAACAAAAACCTCTCAAGAAAAAAAAAAAAATCTCAGATCTTTTGGACAACTGTATATTATCTCTGAATTGAAGTTCCTTATTTAGACCACCCCATGACACAGAGAATTTTAGTCATTTCAAAGCTTTTACCTAATATAAGCAATTCCAGCAATGCACTTAGGTTAATATGTGAAATGTTTTCAGTTATCAAATGTAATCCTTCTGTTCCAGTCTTTTTCAATCATTTTTAAATGTTCAATTCTGTATATATTCAGGCGGTCACTTTAATCAATGTCAAATGCAACAACAGATTATAATACCAGTAAAAATTTCTAAGAAGGTGCAAATCCATTAATTAAATAAGGCTAAGTCATTAAGCTAGAGATTTTCGTTGTATGTCCCCCACTCATTAGGGAAAATGTTCAAAATTGACCATGATGTTCACTTAACTTAGTAGCTTAAGAAACAAATACTGTACTATCAGATGTGAGAAATGTTCCAGAAAGTCTTCAGCAACATTCAAGCATGAAGTATGTTTAAGGTCCAGCTCAAATCTTAAAAGTTACCATCTTTGGGACCAGCAGTTAGCATAATGGCTATGTCACTGAACTCCCATGTAGTCGACTGCGGTGCGAGTCTCAGACCCGGTGGCTTAAACTCATGCCGGGTGTGTGTACATGCGTGCCGAAGATCCCAAGAGGAGAATGGAGGAGAAGGGATTGCGGCGTGGCCATCCCCCCTGGGGGGTGATTTCTCGCTTTCTGTCTGTCTGGCGAGGGCACGCGCCCTATAGCAAAAATCTCTCAAAAAATAAAAAAAAAAAAAAAAAGAACGGAGGAGAAGGGATTGAGGCATGGCCATCCACCCTGGGGGGGTGATTTCTCACTTTCTGTCTCTCTCTCTCTTTCTGGTGAGCGCACGCACCTTATAGCAAAAACCTCTCCAAAAAAAAAATAATAATAAAATAAAGTTAACATCTTTATTTATTTATTTATTCTTGAGAGATTTTTGTTATAGGGCACATGTGCTCACCAGAGAGACAGGTGAGAAATCACCCCCACCAGGGTGAGGTGGCCATGCCACAATCCCTTCTCTCCTGGGATCTTTAGGATGCACATACATGTGCTCAACATAAGTTTGAAGCAGAAGGGTCCAGGATTTAAACTGCAGTCGCCCATGTGGGAGTCCAGCAACCTAACTTCTACACCATCTGCTGGTCCTAAGTTACCTTCTCTACAAACTTTCCTCTGATACTGCCTATCCTCCCCCACTCCCCATTCCCAACTTCATCATAGCTACCATCCGATGGCTGCCCTGCCCCTACTATGAGCAAGTTCTACACTAGCTGTTCTACGGAGAGCAGTCAGTTTAATTCTCCCAGTAATACTGCAAGGTAAGAATCATATCTAAGCTTCTCCCATCCCTCATTCCCAACACCCAGCTTCATTCTATAATATGTATGAGAAATGTTAGGGGCCAGCAGGTGGCATGGTGGATAAGGTGCTGGACTCCCACATGGCCAAACATGGTTAGAATCCTGACCTAGAAGCTTGCTTTCTCTCTTTCTCTTTTTCTCTCTGGTCAAATTAAAATAAATGAATAAGTAAAATTTAATAAATAATTTTCTTTTTGGAGAGGTTTTTGCTATAGGGCGCATGCACTTGCCAGACAGAGAGAGAGACAGAGACAGAAAGTGAGAAATCACCCCCCAGGAGGGATGGCCACATCATAACTAACCCCTTCCCCTCCATTCTCCTCTCTGGATCTTGGGCATGCACACACAGGTGCCCGGCGTGAGTTTTAAGCCACCTGGTTCGGGACTCAAACCACAGTCGACTACATAGGAGTCCATCGACACAGCCATTACGCTAACTGCTGGTCCCAATAAATAACTTTTTTAAAAGAGAAAACAGGTTAAATAACCTGCCCATCGTAAGTAAATGGAGCAGCTAGGATTTGAAAGTGGGTTTTGTCGACTCCAAGACCTTCTCGCCAGTGCCAGGCTGTCGGTGTCGTTTAAAGCACAATGATATATGTGGCTAGCTGAGATGACTGCCATCTGCACGTGGGCCTTCCTCATGGCATTTACCATTATTTGTCTTCAGGCCTTACCACTGATGGCAGAGCTTCATTTCTCTGCTTTTAAATAAAGTAGTTCTGACTTTTCCAAACCTCATGGGGCCCATTAAGGGAACTTACTGTTATTTGTGCAAAGGGGAGACATGTTACTAGACAGGGCAGAAAGTGATGAGCAGGAAGCAATCTACTCTCAGGGAGTGGAGGGGGCTGGTATTTACCATAATTAGAAGCAGCTTCTCAACATAATGCAGTTGAACTCTCTGGTAACTTAGGTTACCAGGGCCAACAAAACGGACGTTAGGTTGTGACTTACGGTCAGGATTTGCGCATCAGTTGCAAAAATGACACCCTAGTACTTACCAACAGTTTTTATACTAGGAAGTCAGGATAAGGCATTCATGAAAACGTTAGTTGTGTCCATCTATAACTCAAACGTTGTGGTCACGGGTAGAGAGATGACAAGAATACTTATTCTACATTACGTGAATTGGATAGTAAAATAGGCACTTGTGAGATGGTGGGTAAGGGCCTCTTTCTAGATATTACTGCCCCTAAATATGCTTGAATATAGTCACCTCTATACTTCTTCCTTATCTTCCTTACTTCAAAATTTTGACTATAGTTGTGTCCTTTCTTCTATTTTAAAATAAGATGACAGGATAAACGATCTAGTTTCTTCAAATAAAAAGTGAAGAATGCAAAGAGAAGAAAGAATTTAAGATGAATACCAGTAAAATACAGTGTAAGGATGGTGATTTGATCACAGTGTTAAAAATGAGACAGGAGAAAGAATAAACCTGAACATTTTATTGTATTAAGAAATTAGTGGGACCAGCAGTTGGAGTAATGGCTATGTCGCTGGACTCCCATGTAGTTGACAGTGGTTCAAGTCCTGGACCCAGTGGCTTAAACTCAAGCCGGGTGCATGTGCGTGCCCAAGATCCTGAGAGGAGAATGGAGAAGGGATTGCAACTCGGCCATTCCCCCTTGGGGGTGATTTCTAGTTTTGTTTCTCTGTCTTCCTCTGTCTTTCTCGTAAGTGCACACGCCCTATAACAAAAGCTGCTCCAAATGGGGGAAAAAAAAAGGAAAGAAAGATGGATGGCTGGGGCCAGCAGATGGTAAAATGGTTGTCACTGGACTCCCACATAGTCAACCAAGGTTCGAGTCCTCGTCCCCATGTCTTAAACCCCACGTTGGGCGCATGTGTGTGCATGCCCAAAGTCCTGAGAGAACGGAAAAGGAATTGCAGCCATCCCCTGGGTGGGGGGAGGAGGGTAAGTTTTCACTGTCTCTGTGTGTCTCTGGAGAGTGCACGTGCTCTATAGCAAAAATCTCTCTCAGAGAAAAAAAAGCAAGAAAGGCGACTGGATCAGGAAGTTGGGAGAACTTTCTGACAGCAAGAACAATGCCCAGCTGTTTTAGCCTTGACATTCTCAATCACCTACTAAGAATCAGGGAAAGACTAAGTATATATTACCTATGTTATAGTATAGTGAAAACCATCACAGTTTACAGTCAGAGAACTCCATTCAAATTCATTCAGTTCTCGCTAGGTCTCTAATGGGTGACCCATGGAACCCAGATGATTCAATGTTAAGGTTGAAGGGCAACTGGCTTATTTCATTGTTTACAACTAGCAACTCACTTTGAAAGTCTCACAGACACATTCACACAGCCTTCATAGATGCCATAGAGTACAGTGAAAAGAAAGTAACTCTGAGGGGAAAAGATCTCCCAGTGATAGAAAACTTAAGAAAATGAAAAGCTTCCCTTTAAAATTAACAATAAAGAACACAAGAGAGTTAAAAAGCAAGCTTCCATTTTTTTATTTTATTAAAAAAAAAATCACCAACTCATAAAATAATGCATCAACTCATACAAAGGAGTAGAAACAAAGTCAAATATTAAAATTTAAAATACATATGTGTATTTATTATCTTGAACAGTTTAGCTTTTAGACTACCTCAATTAAAATACAGCTTTTCTCAGAAAGCTGTTGCAAACCCAGTAGTAATACTGTTCTGACTGTGTAGTCAATGATCCCCCTTTTCTCGAGCAGGATGAAGATGTAACTCCTTTAAGCAACACTCTGAATATTGCCATCTTAAATTTTGCTTTGTTACCAGAAATAGCGTTCTCAAAAACAGAGAACTAAGCTTTCATGACAACCTTACGATTTGATTATACATTGTAGAAAAAATGTGAAGATAGAAGATTTAAAGAAAATAAAAATTGTCCAGTATCCCTCCACCAAATACAATAACAAAAGATTATAGATATATTTCTAGGCTTTTAATACATTCACATAGCATTTAAAAACAAAACTAGTAAAATGCTTACAGACCCTTCTGTTTCGCTTCATATTATATAACAACCATTTTTTTAGGGCATTAAATATAGAAAACATGACCTTTAGCTGGCTGCTTCACAATGTAATTATAATTAAAACATCTTGTACCTCCAACTGTTAGATATTCAGATTGTTTTCAAAATTTGCTATTGTAACTTCCTTCTTTATACATAATTCTTTGTATGTATCTCTGATTATTTTTTCCAAGAGAAATCCCTAGGATTAGAGCACCCAGCACAAGGTGCACACGCATTTCTAAGCCTTTTGATGCACTTTACCAAACTGCCCTCCAAGAAAGACTGTACCAATTTACTGTCACATCAAGCAAACACCAAACCAAAGAGACCCATTTCTTCCTTCTATTCCTTGGCAACATAAGAAAATGGACATGACCCCCCCACCCCACGTCATTCTTGCAAATTGAACAGGGGAAGGACAGATGATCTCTTCTTGTATTTTTCCTTAACTATAAGATTTTTTTCCTCCACATCAGTCTTTTGCTTTTCTTCTGGGGTTTGAAGCAGCCCAAGTCTTCCTAGAAGTCTACCACATGCAGTGTCTGATCTCAGCACAGGTTCTTCGTTCACAGGCGAGGGCATGAAAGCTGCATGCCTTTCCCGGGTTTTTCCTTTTCAAGTTAAGCAGGAATTCTCAGAAATAACTGGAGTTAGAGAGTCTTCTTTTCTACTACTTTAATGTCTTGGTAATAAAACAGAAAACTGGGCCGTATTCTAAAAGGAAGAAAACGGGGAACAGACAACATACGCTATTGGCCGTGGTTTTCACAAGTGGGCGATGCTTGTTAAAAACCAGATTTTAGTTTTACAGATTAGAGTGAATACTCGTGGAATATACAGTTTAAATGAGCTTTGAAGATAATTCTCATGTTCACCACTTTAAAAATCACTAGACGTGAGACTTTAGGTTTCGCTCTAACTCTTGGTTCTGCCTCCCTTTCCTGTACAGTGAGGTTTAGTGCTCATCTCAGATGACTGTTCTGATGATCACTTTATTTGACAACATTACTTTGAAGATATAAGAAATCCTGCTTATTACTGTTTAAGACACATTTCATACCTACCCCCGGCCTAGCTAATTGTTTATGCAACCTCTATCCCTTATACTTAACCCACTGTAAAATAAATAAATCACTGAAATTATAATGTTGTATTTCCACACAGAACAGAATATTCATCATCATAGTACATCTTTAGGAATCTTAGTAACCACAGTTTGACATATGAATAGAATAGTGTGTGCTCCCTAAGTGTTTCTAAAAAGAATTAGTGAATGACTGAATGATACACATTTCAGTGCATAGTGGAATAAAATAATCATGGAATAAGGGATTTTTATTTTATTTATTATTATTTTTTTAAATTAATTCTTTTTTTGTAGAGGTTTTTGCTATAGGGTGCATGCACTCACCAGACAGACAGAGAGAGACAGAGAGACAGAAAGCGAGAAATCACCCCCCAGGGGGGATGGCCATGCCGCAATCCCTTCTCCTCCATTCTCCTCTCAGGATCTTGGGTACACACGCACATGCGCCCGGTGTGAGTTTAAGCCACCGGGTCCGGGACTCGAACCATGGTCAACTACATGGGAGTCCAGCGACAATAGCCATTACGCTAACTGCTGGTCCCAAGAACAAGGGATTTTTAGTATGATGTTCCTTAATGCTACAAAATGGAGCCCACAATTCTCATTTTTGCCTACATTAGCAGTTTGTCATTAATCTCAGCTTAACATAGCTGTCCTTAAAATGGAACACCCCCCCCAAAAAAATTCACTTATTTTTAGCTTAAACTCACACTGGGCATGTGTGCATGTGTGCCCAAGATCCCAAAAGGAGAATGAAGGGATTGGGGATTTCATTCCCTATTTCAATCCCTATTAGGGATTTCACTCCCTATTTGTCAGAATTTGTTTCCCTTTTCTTCATAAGAGCATTTCATATCTTGGGGCCAGCAGGTGGCATGGTGCTTAATGGTGCTGGACTCCCACAGGGCCAACCACAGTTTGAGTCCTGGACCAGGCCGCTTGCTTTCTCACCACACCCCCCAACCCCACTCATGCTCTGTCCCTCTCTGGTCAAATGAAAAAGAAAGGAAGGAAGGAAGGAAGGAAGGAAGAAAGAAAGAAAGTAAGTTAAGTGAATTACTTCTTCTTCTTTGCTATCGGGCATGTACGCTCACCAGAAAGACAGAGAGAGACAGAAAGCGAGAAATCACCCCCCAGGGTGGATGGCCACACCACAATCCCTTCTTCTCCTGGGATCTTGGGCAAGCATGCACATGTGCCCGGTGTGAGTTTAAGTCACTGAGTTCGAGACTTGAACCATGGTCGACTACATGGGAGTCCAGCAACATAGCCAGTATGCCAACTGCTGGTCCCTAAAATAATTCTTAAAAACAAAAAGAAAAGAACTTCTCATATCTCAATTATGATAAAACATTTCAAACCCAATGACAACACTAAAAAACACCAATGAATTTGTTTATTTTAGATTTGTTGCTATATGGCATATGTGCTCACCAGAGACAGTGAGAAATCACCCCCCAGGGGGAATGGCCATACCACAATCCCTTCTCTTCATTCTCCTCTAGGATTTTGAGCATGCATACACACATACCCGGAGTGGGTTTAAGCTGCTTTGTCCTGAACTCAAACCACGGTCAACCACATGGAGTTCAGCAACACGACCATTATGACATCTGTTGATCCCAACAGATTAAAATAAATCTGAACTTTAACTCCTCTTTTTCATAAACTTTTGGAAGTCCCCTGTGTGATTTCACAATTGGTTAGTATGATAGTAATGGTATGAAAACTTGTTGAAAACATCCAGGCCAACATAAAATACATGAGACAATGGACCCAGGATGAAATGCAAGTAAGAGGGTCGATGGAAGAGTCTGCTTGCAGAAGGCTGAGGACACTTACCTTCAGGTTATGGAGTGTTTCTGACCATTCCATAGACCCTATCAGGGGGATGGTGGTGAGGAGTAAGCTTTTGGCTTTATTGGCATTTTCTTTCAGGGTCTTTAAGACCCGATCCACTGAAACCTAGAGAAACAACAGCATAGGACATTATTAGTATTTTGCCTTAGGGCATGTGCAGTTTCCAGGAAGAGAGAGACAGAAACAGAGGGAAAGTGAGAAATCACCCCCAGAGGGGATTGCTATGCTGTAATCCCTTCTTCTTCATTCTCCTCTTGGGAATCTTGGACACACGCACAAGCCCCAAGCCTCAGTTTCAAGCTATGGGTCTGGGACTCGAACCATAGTCCACCATGTGGGAGTCCAGCAATGTAAGTGCAATATTATCTGTTGGCCCCAGCACAAGACATTTAATAAAATCTAAAATTCCAGGGTCGGCAGGTGACATGGTAGCTAAGACACTGACTCCCACATGGCCAACCATGGTTCAAGTCCCAAACCTGGTGGCTTGCTTTCTCACTCTCCATCTCTCTCTCTTTGGTCAAATTAAAACAAACAAACAAACAAATAAATAAAATGAAACAAATAATCCTTTAAAAAAATCTAAAATTCTATTGCTTTTCACAAAACATGTTTCTGAGTTTCAATCCTGCTATAATCTGAATGTATGTGTCACCCCCAAATTCATCATTTCCAATCTATTTCCACATATTCAATGTGAGGGTATCTGGAAGTTGGGCATTTGGATGGTGATTAGGTCATGAACACAGAGCTCTCAAGAAAGCAATCCGTACTCTTATAAAGAGACTCTGAAGAGTTGTCGTGCCTGCGGATACAGACAGGTGTCATTTATGGAACAGAAAGGGGGTCCTCACCGGACACCGAATCTGCTAGTGCCCTGATCCTGGATACCCCAACCTCCAGAACCGTGAGTAATAACTGTTGCCTAGAAGCTAGCCAGTCTATGAAATTCTGTTATAGCAGCCCAAATGGGCCAAGGCAACTCTGACCTATGAAGTTGGATTTATCTCAAATTCAGTTCCCCAAGTCCAAGTTCTGTATTTATGAAGATGGTTTTAGTCCTAGGCGGAGGTTGTGGATAAACCCAATGACATCAGTGAAAAACACTAATAAACTTTTATTTTCTTTTTAGAGGTTTTAGCCTTAGGGTGCATGCACTCACTGGAGAGAGACAGTGAGAGGGCAAGTGAGAAATCACCCCTGGCAAGGGGTGGCAATGCTGCAATCTCTTCTCCATTCTCCCAGGATTTTGGGTATGCACATATACAGGCCAGGTGTCATTTTCAAGCTACCAGGTCCGGAATTCAAACCACAGTCAGCCATGTGCAAGTCCAGCAATGTAACTGCCACACCATTTGCTGGCCCCAACACCAACAGATTTTAATACAGTATACATACAAACTCCTTTCACTTTGCATGTTTGACTCAGTTTACCTTTTTTTTTTTTTTTTAAGGTTGGCAAGATACAGCTACCAATGTACAGGCTATACTGAGATACAGAAGCCTTTTAGACAACTGTGAGATGACTTCAGGTTATGGAAGGCTTCTGACCACTCCACAGACCCTGTTGGGGGATGACGGTGAGGAGTAAACTGGGAAACTCAGCTGAGTAAATGACCTTTACATAAAACTTGCAAGAAAAAAAAAATTCATTTTTAACATTTAACTACATACTTGGATTTTTCTTGGCTATATTAAGGAATTACTTTTGGAGTATGATATCTCTGATATCTAATGTATGGATAAAAAAAATATGGATGAGAGTATAGATGAAATATGATTGGCTTAAGCTGATGTGATGGTTGAGGCTGGATGTCGAATTCATGGGTAAGCATACTATTATCCCCTTCTGTATGACTGTGACTACTTCATAAGGGAAAAGCTGAAAACGCTGTCAATATAAAATTGGCCACAATTAGGCAGAGTACCCGCCATGCGTCACTATGCGTAGAAGGAATCCCAGATGCAGACACAGTGATTGGACCTCTCTTCTTTTCCTCGAGCACAATGTTCAGAGCCCGCCTGCACATACTGAGATGTGTTTAGAAAAAACTTAGGTGCACCACAGCAGAGGGAGCTGCCACAACTGTGGGAACACAGAGCAGAGTGGGCACAAGTGTGTGTACCCCAGCAGCACTCGCCTGCCTGCCAAGGACTCTGCAGTGTTTCACACGGACACTCAAGTGCAGGGACCTGAAGCATCCATGAGATTGACCTGACATTTACTTGTCTCCATATACTTTTCCGGTGACTAGTATTTCTATATGGGATTTGACTCTTTTTTTTTTTTCTTTTTTCCAGCTATTGGACTCCCCAAAATGCCCTTGTTTCTAAATCTCCTCAAAAAAAATCTAACCCTCTGTTCAAGGTCCAGATCAAATCTTAAAAGTTACCATCTTTATTTATGTATTTATTTATTTATTTATTTTTGAGAGAGTTTTGTTATAGGGCACATGTGCTCACCAGAGAAACAGAAGGTGAGAAATCACCCCCACCAGGGCGGGGTGGCCATGCCACAATCTCTTCTCTTCCTGGGATCTTGAGGATGCACACACATGTGTTGAACATAAGTTTGAAGCAACCGGGTCCAGAAATTAAACTGTGGTCGCCCATGTGGGAGTCCAGCAACCTAACTGCTATACCACCTGCTGGTCCTAAAAGTTACTTTCTTTACAAACTTTCCTCTGATACTGCCTACCCTCCCCCACTGCCCATTCCCAACTTCACCATAGCTACCATCTGATGGCTGCCTCTCCTATAAGAAAGTACTACACTAGCTGTTCTACGGAGAGCAATTAGTTTAATTCTCCCAGTAATAGTGCAAGGTCAGAATCATATCTAAGCTTCTCCCATCCCTCATTCCCAACACCCAGCTTCATTCTACAATACATATGAGAAATACGTTAGGGGCCAGCAGGTGGCATGGTGGATAAGGTGCTGGACTCCCCCATGGCCAAACATGGTTCAATTCCCTGACCTGGAGGCTTGCTTTCTCACTTTCTTTCTTTCTTCTTCTCTCTGGTCAAATTAAAATAAATGAATAAATAAGTAAAATTTAATAAATAATTTTTTAAAAGAGAAAACAGGTTAAATAACCTGCCCATCGTAAGTAAATGGAGCAGCTAGGATTTGAAAGTGGGTTTAGTCGACTCCAAGACCTTCTCGCCAGTGCCAGGCTGTCGGTGTCGTTTAAAGCACAATGATATATGTGGCTAGCTGAGATGACTGCCATCTGCACGTGGGCCTTCCTCATGGCATTTACCATTATTTGTCTTCAGGCCTTACCACTGATGGCAGAGCTTCATTTCTCTGCTTTTAAATAAAGTAGTTCTGACTTTTCCAAACCTCATGGGGCCCATTAAGGGAACTTACTGTTATTTGTGCAAAGGGGAGACATGTTACTAGACAGGGCAGAAAGTGATGAGCAGGAAGCAATCTACTCTCAGGGAGTGGAGGGGGCTGGTATTTACCATAATTAGAAGCAGCTTCTCAACATAATGCAGTTGAACTCTCTGGTAACTTAGGTTACCAGGGCCAACAAAACGGACGTTAGGTTGTGACTTACGGTCAGGATTTGCGCATCAGTTGCAAAAATGACACCCTAGTACTTACCAACAGTTTTTATACTAGGAAGTCAGGATAAGGCATTCATGAAAACGTTAGTTGTGTCCATCTATAACTCAAACATTGTGAGCACGGGTAGAGATGACAAGAATACTTATTCTACATTACATGAATTGGATAGTGAAACAGGCACTTGTGAGATGGTGGGTAAGGGCCTCTTTCTAGATATTACTGCCCCTAAATATGCTTGAATAGTCACCTCTATACTTCTTCCTTACTTCAAAATCTTTTGACTATAGTTGTGTCCTTTCTTCTATTTTAAAATAAGATGAATGACAGGATAAATGATCTAGTTTCTTCAAATAAAAAGTGAGGAATGGGGACCAGCAGTTAGCGTAATGTTACTTAGAAAATATTTCAGAAAAATACTTCAAAAGGAAGGCAAAGGAGAGTGGGTGGATAGAAGTATATGTATGATACAAGACTGGCCGTGTTTGATAACCATGGCAGTTAGGGATGGATACATGGGGTCCATTTTTGATACCCTCTATTTATTAGATGTTTAAAATTTTCCTAATGAAAATTATTAGCTTTAGAAGCCTGAGCTCAGTGTTCCAGTGTCCTTAAATTCCAGGTGGATCTTGCTGTCTCTCTAGCCTAAGACCCCGTCTTGTCTGCCCCTCTGAAATCCTTACCATGGTCTATGTGGTCCTGCCCCATCTGGTCCCACTCTCATCTGCCTTCTCTCCTGCCTCCTCCTTCTCCATTCTACTCAGCCAGGTCCTTCTTGCCCTTCATATGTACATCAAGAAGACCTCTCAGACTTCAAAGAGTTGGTTTGGTCAATTAGATAGGTACTGCTGTATCTAATCACACTATGTCTTTATAACCCCTTGCCTTTCTTTTCTGGCTTTTGAGAGATTTTTTGCTATAAGGTGGGTGGGTGTAGTCGCCAGACAGACAGAAAGTGAGACATCACCCCATGGAGAGGATCACCAGTTCCTTCTCCTCTATTTTCCCCTCAGGATTTTGGACTAGCACGCACATACACCTGGCATGAGTGTCAAGCCTCCAGATCCAGGACTCAAACTGCCATTGGCCATGTGGGAGCCCAGTGATGTAACCATTATGCCATCTGCTGGTCCCACCCTTGCCTTTCTTACAGTGGTTTGGTTAACCTTTGCTTTTCCAAACAGAATGTTGGCTCCTTAAGGATTCATCTGTTTGCCGTCACATTCCTACACTGAGCACAGTATCCAGCCATCGTAGGCTAAATGGATGAATATGGACGTACAGTCTTTTTCTAAGAGAGATTTTTTTTTTTGCCATAGGGCACATGAGCTCGCCAGAGAGACAGAGACAGAAAGTGAGAAATCACCCCCTGGGGGGATGATCATGCTGCAATTCATTCTCTTCTACTCTCCTGCTGGGGTTTGGGACATGCATGCAAATGTGCCTAGCATGAGTTTTAAGCCACTGGATTTGGGACTTGAACTGTGGTCGACTACATGGGAGTCCGGTGATGTAACATTACGGCTTCTGCTGGTCCCCTGTATTCTTACCAGGAAGAGCTAAGTAATAGCTTTTTCCCCCCTTGAAACTAAATACAATATAAACAGTGGCTGGGGACAAGGAAATTACAATCAGGATATGCCTTTATCCTTAAAATAATGCCCAGCTCTCACTGTGACTCCCAATAACCTACATGCCTAGCACGTATCGTTCACAGTTGATCCTTAGATAAAAATGTCTTTTTCTCTCCTGTGAAGATCCTTTTTCTTTATCCTCTCCACCAGGAACTTCAGAAAATAGCTGACAATACCTAATGCCAACCTGAAAACTTGGTATAAAGGCACTTTCTGAAACGAATGTGATAAAAAACAGTTTAGACATTCAGAAATCAGGGCCACACATGCTCAGAAGAGAATTTCACCTACCGCTTCCTCATGCTCCTTCCAGCAATCATAATCTGTTGCCATGGCGATACTTGCATAGCAAATTCCAGCCTCCTTAGCAAGAACCACTTCTGGAACTGTGGTCATATTGATAACATCCGCCCCCCAGGTGCGAAACATGAAGCTTTCTGCCCGGGAGCTAAAGCGAGGTCCTTCAATTGTGACCATTGTCCCCTTTGAGTGGCAACGGAGTCCTAGCTTCTTAGCAGTCTCAATGAGGACCTACAAAAGAAAGAAGCACACACTCAAAATATACGAATTTATGTACAACCTAAGGATTCATTTTTCCCTGATGTTTACTAAGTTCATTACTTAAGAAACAAGATTTTTCAAATACCTTGTACCTGCTAGACCCTCAGAAAGAGCCTAGAAGAGCACAAAAAGGTGTTTCCTAGATCCTTATATATTTATATTATCCTCTGTTCTCCCAGGCTCCTTGCACATACAGCTCATACCTACAAGAGCAAACAATAAGCTTTGGTATTTGATTACTTAACGTTAATCTCACTCACTTTTTTTTTTTTTGAGAGGTTTTCGCTATAGGGCGCGTGCGCTCACCAGACAGAGAGAGACAGAGAGACAGAAAGTGAGAAATCACCCGCCGGGGGGATGGCCACGCCACAATCCCTTCTCCTCCATTCTCCTCTCGGGATCTTGGGCACGCACGCACACACGCCCGGCATGAGTTTAAGCCACCGGGTCCGGGACTCAAACCGTGGTCGTGGGAGTCCAGCAACATAGCCATTACGCTAACTGCTGGTGCCATCTCATTTACTTCTTGACAACGTTAAGTGACTTAGCCAGTTTGTGACTAGGGACTTGAGTCTTAGCTCTTAACTGCTCAGGCTAAGCTAAGGTGCCTCTCATCACTCAGCTCAAAGTAGGTGCTGAGCTCTATTTCCAAGCTCCTGTGACGTTCATTTTCATTGCTCTTTTATACACAATCTAAAGACTTTCCTCAAAGCTCCCTTTTTTTGGTTAGAAAGTAATTTCTCTTTTGCCTATTGCCTCTCCAAGGACATACGACTCAAACGTAATGGGGCTGTGCTGGTATTTCTGTCCAGGGATAAACTTACCTTGGCATTCTTTTTTTAAAGAGATTTTTGAGAGAAAGACAGAGACAGCGAGAACCCTCCCCCCACAGGGGGATGCAATATGCCGCAGTCCCTTTTCCTCTATTCTCCAGGGACCTTGGGCATGCACACATATGTCCCTGGTATGACTTTCAAGCCTCCAGGTCTGGGACTCAAACTGAGGTCAGCTGTATGGGAATGCAGCAATATAACCACTAAGCCATCTGCTGGCCCCTATCTTGGCATTCCTTTAATGGTAAGGCCATACATAAAGTTATAAAAACATTATTAAAAAGCTTGATTGCTTTGTCCAGTATTCAAATTAATAATACGCATATAATCTTTAGGTCATTTATTGAATTAATTTTTTCCTTAGACTATGCTTCAATATTCCCTTTTAATTAAAAAAAAAAAAAATCAATCTTTTGGGACCAGTACACAGCATAATGGTTACATTTCTGGACTCTCACATGGCCAACTGCAGTTTGAGTTCCAAGACCCAGACTCACGATGGGCATGTGTGCGTGCATGCCCAAAATCCTGAGAGGTGCATTGAGAAAGCATTGCAGAGTGGCCCCCCCCTGCTGGGTAGTGATTTCTCACTTTCTGTCTCTCTGGTGGGTGTATGGGCCCTACAGCAAAAATCTCTCTCTTAAAGAAAAAAAAAATCTTTCATCTCAACTGTTAAATTACTGAAGCACTATAAGACAACCTCTGGAATGGCCCTGTAGTATAGCAGTTAAACATTGTACATACGGAGCTGAATGCCACACGGCCCACTGTGGTGTGAATCCCAGTCTTAGAGGCTTGAAAAACATGGAGAGTATGTGCATGCATGCTCCAAGTCCTGCCACCATGGAGAAACGGAGGACAGAGGATTACAGCATGGTCTTGCCCTACTGAAAAGTGCCCTCTCCTCTAGCGAGTACACATGTACTCTAGTAATTAAAACAAATAAGCAAAAAAGACAACCTCTGTATTTCTCATCTGTAAAAGGGAATAATACTGCATAACTCTGAGATACTGTGGGAATTAAATCCCCTCAGGTATAACAAGCAAAGAAACATGGCGAGCACATTACAAACTCTATATAACCACCAAGCTGGCTTTCTAATGAATAATTAGTGGCAACTTCTATATACATGAAGGTTCTTGCAATACTATATGCATATATAAAAAACAGTGACTCAGGGTCAGTAAAATGCTACAGTCTGGCCCAAAGACCTACTCATAGCTTAATTACATAAGCAAACTAACCTATTTTCTTCAAATAACTTATGCTATGCTATAGCAATGGGAAAAAATTCTTTTTAAAGGAGAGATTTTTGTTATAGGGCATGTATGCTCGCGGGGGGGTGGGGGAGGTGACCACGCCACAATCCCCTCTCCTCCATTCTTCTCCTAGGATTTTGGGCAAACACATAGGCACACAACACACTTGAGCTTTAAGCCTCTGGGACTTCAACTCCAGTCAACTATGTGGGAGTTCAGTGTCAAAACCATTATACCATCTGCTGGCCCTGGGAGAAGGAATTTTTTTTGTGAGAGGTTTTTGTTATAAGGCACATGCGCTCGCCAGAGAGACAGAAAGCGAGAAACTTCCCCCCCACACACCAGGGGCAGGGATGGCCACACCACAATCCCTTCTCCTCCATTCCCCTCTTGGGATCTTGGGCACACATGTACACGTGCCTGGCGTGAGTTTAAGCCACCAGATCCAGGACTTGAACTGTGGTCGACTACATAGCCATATGCTAACTGCTGGTCCCAGGAGAAAGAATTTTAACCAGAGCTTTGGCAACTTGTTCAAAACCATAACAATAAGCAACAGTTGATGCTACATTATGTAAATCTTATTAATGCTGAGTAAGTAATGCTCAGGGCCAGCAAGCAGCAAGCAGCATGGTGGATAAGGTGCTAGACTCCCACATGCCCAACCACAGTTTGAGTCCTGGACCTGGCAGCTTACTTTTTCACTCTCTCTCTCTTTCTCTCTCTTTGATAAGCACACATGGCCTATAGCAAATTAAAAATAATATTAAGTAAAACCAAATAAATCTTTAAAACATCATTTAAAATATTCATGCTTCTCCCTAAGAGGACAGGTTATAAATGCAAGGGCCTAAATTCTTATATACCTCTTTCCTCTTCCCCTCCCCACGAAAGTCAAGACATAAACAGCCCCAGCTTGGTGGCTCATTACATGTCTTTAAAGTTCCAGAATAACCAAGCTGTGTATCTTAGCCAAACTTCAGAGTGTGTAAAGGAAGAGCACATGTACTGTGTGCCACTGGCCTGTGACATGAGTCCTCAGCATTACCCTGGGGAAGTAGGAGCCAGGATTGTGAGAAGGAGGAAGTGGAGGCTTACAGATGTGGGTTGGCCACATGATAGACCTTGGGGGCCCCACCACTTAAACTAGCACTCTGCACTCCTATAAACACTGAGAATATTGGCCTTTTAAAAATTTTAATTATTTTACAGTTTATGTGCATTTATTCATTGTATATGATTGTGAGATATAATGCCTTTTCAAAGCATGCATGTAGTGTGTGAGTGATAATCAAAGATGTTAATGTAATTCATCATCTTCAACAAAGAACATTATGCTATGTTGCACACCTTCGTTTTTTGTTCTAGTAGACTTTTTTCCAGATACATATATAATATTGGCAATACCTTTTTTCTCTTTTCTTTTTTATGAGCTCTGTTGTGGTATATACCATTCCATAACTTATTTGCCCTTGTTTACATACATTCTTGTGTCTGTTAATCATTTTTTTCCAGAGCCCTTCTACCCTACAAATATCACCTTAGGGATATAGAAAATATAAATTACTGGGTCAAGCTGTGATGATTTCATTTGTTTGTTTGTTTGTTTTTGAGAGGCTTTTGCTATAGGGATGTGTGCGCTCACCAGAGAGACAGAAAGCGAGAAATCACCCCCCTAGGGAGTTGGCCATGCCCCAATCCCTTCTCCTCCATTCTCCTCGGGATCTTGGGCATGCACGCACATGTGCCTGGAGTGAGTTTAAGCCACCGGGTCCAGGACTTGAACTGCGGTTTGGTCGACTACGTGGGAGTCCACCGACATAGCCATTATGCCAACTGCTGGTCCTGATTTCATGTGGCTTTTAATTAAAATAAAACTCCCTTAATCACTACAACCCTCACACACACAGAAAGTAATATTAGATATCAGGCTAAATATTATTTAATGCGTCAGGTGGTTTTGGTAAGTATCCTTTTTTAAAGAGATTTGTGTTACAGGGTATGTGTGTGTTTGGAGAGACAGAGGAAGACAGACAGAAGGCAAGAAATCACCCCTCAGGTGCATGCACACACACCCAGTGAGTTTAAAGCTGCTGGTTCCAGGATGAGCTGTGGTTAACTCCATGGGAGTCCAGTGACACAACCATTAAGCCATCTGCTGGTCCTGAAAATTATCAATTATTTCTTTTGCCAGAGGGTGCACGCATTTGCCAGGAGGGAGGTAGAAAAAAAGCATCCCCTACAGGCAATGCTTGCATCACAATCCCTTCTCCTCCATTTCTCCCTCCTGATCTGGGGCTTGAATTGCAAGGTCAGCCATGCGGGATCCAGCTCCCTTAACCATGATGCTATGGGCTGGCCTAAACTATCTACTTAAATGACATTTTTTGGAACAGGTAATACTCGTACATAATATAAAATGTAAATAGTGCAAAAGAGTATTACTTTGAAAAAGTCTTTCTACCATCCCTATGTCCTAGGAATATAGGTCACTTCTTTAAGAGAAACCCCGGTATCAGTTTTTTGGTTAACTTTCCAGAAATACTCTATCTGCATACAATTGTATCTCAGTATCCAGAGCAGATTGGTTCCAATACCCCCTATAGTTACCAAAATCTCCACTCCCTTACATAAAGTGATGTAGTGCTTACATATAGCCTACACACATGTTCTTGTATACATTAAATCAGCTCCAGATTTCTTTTGAATAATCCTAGTTGTAAGTGAAAAGGAAAACAGAGAGATGAACTTCTTCAGCATTTCTCTTTTAGGGAACCACTTCTTTCCCATTTCATAATAATTGGTGTGGTCTGCCTGTATCCATGGCTGGTTTTATCTGGAGATGGGAAACCTGACACTATGGATTGTATTCTTTTTTTTTTTAAGTTTTTTTTTCCATTTACCTTTATTATTATCGTTACTATTTAATTTGACCAGAGAGAAACAGAGAGAGAGGGAAAGTGAGAAAGCAAGTCGCCAGGTCTGGGACTCAAACCGCAGTAGGCAATGTGGGAATCTGGCGTCCTTAACTGTCATGCCACCTGCAGGCCCCGAGCTGACTGTATTCTAACATGAACAGTAAGATGTGGTATGACAACTCATCCTCGCAATCCTTCCTCATCAGTTCATAAAAGATCATGTGGATGCAAAAAGCCTCAACTACCAAGTGAGAGCACCATCCACTCTTTACATTTTTGGGGTAATACTTAAAAATCTCTCTTAGCATGTATAAGAACGAAGTAATATTCTGAAGGCTTACTTTTGTCATTTTCTTAAACTGCTTCCCCAGCATTTTCTCAGTCTTCATGTTGGGTCCTTTGCTTGGTTAATATTAACTGAATTAACCTGATTTCGAGGGAGGCTAAGTTGTATTCTAGAAGCACTCACCCAGAGCCACATTTACATGCACTCCATATAGATCACCAGAGCTTCCCCCACCTACCTTCCTAGTTCCCCATCACTACCCTCTGCTTTGAACCATACCTGCCTTGAATGATTAGGTTTCACACTAATATGTATATGTTGTATTTTCTCCTTGGTTTATTGTTTCTTAAGCTGCCCCTATTTTGAAATGGCTACGAATTTTACCCATTCTTCATTTCCTCTGGATAATAAATTTACTATGTGGACAGGTCTGTGTGGGGTGAGGCATTCTGATACCTTCTGCTGACAACTCCCCAGAACATGTACCATATAAACATTAACCTGACATTTTTAACAAGTAAAAACTGGACTTCAACAGACATCAGAAAGAAATGATATGCAGTGGTACATCTGAAATGGCTATCTCTAAACCCCTGTTTTGGTTTCTAGATTTTTACTTCAATTCAAGTGAGTTTAAGGTACCTCTGCTGTTATGTATAAGGAAACTGGTTTTCAGTGATTACGTAGGGCTGCACATAAAAGCTATTTTTGGTATTTGGGTATTCAAATGATGGGAGCAACTGAAATGTTCAGATATTTATATTCACTGAATGAATGCATAAGGGATATTTTACCACGCAGTTCGCCTCTCACAATACTTCTGGTCTTTTGAATTGAACCTGACTTTTAAAACTTAACTAAGATCACAAGAAAAGTAGCACATGTGGACCAAGCAATGGACTCTTGAGTTGTGGTGGCCATTTTTATTCCCTGGGAGTTGAGGTTGTGATTCCTTGTCTTACACCACCACTGTTCCTTGCGGGGCTGCCTCCATAGATCTGATGCTACTGTGATGTTGAAGAGGCTAGAAGGTAATGGGCAAACTCAGCTCAAAGGCAGAGGAAGACAATCTGTTTTTAGATTATAATTCCTAATATAATTCATTAAAGCAGTTAGTTACCAGTCATCAAATATTCCATAACTGACATGGTCCAAAATTCTTTATAAGAATTAATTATTTTGGGACCAGCAGTTGGCGTAATGGCTATGTCGCTGGACTACCACGTAGTTGACTGTGGTTCGAGTCCTGGACCTGGTGGCTTAAACTCATGCTGGGTGTGTGTGCGTGCGTGCCCAAGATCCCGAGAGGAGAACAGAAGAGAAAGCATTGCAGCGTGGCCATCCCCGCTGAGGGGGTGATTTTTTGCTCTCTCTCTCTCTCTCTCTCTCTTTCTCTCTGTCTTTCTGGTGAGCAAATGCACCCTATTAAAAAAAAAAAACTCTCAAGAAATTATTATTTTATCCCTCACATATACTAGGAAGTCCACACCAGTATTATCTCAATTTTACAAATGAGATCACTGAAACCCAAAGATGTTAAATAATCTACCTGAAAACATATAGCTATTAAGCTGAAGAACAGAAATTGGATCCCAAGTAATCTCCAGGCTGTATATTCTTGACCAATATGCCATCCCATACTGAATTATTTAAAATGTATCCTGACAGCAAAAATCAAAACTCATTTAAAAAGATTAAGTTGCTACTTTGAGAGGTTCAGCTCACAAGTGATTAAGAGCAGCAGAGGCATTATTAATAAAGGAAAACACTCAACAGACAACCTTGCACAAAAAGCAAACTTGAGGCAGTCTAGGGACCTCCTACTTGGCCAATTAACCTAACTCTAGATGACAGCCCAAGTCCTTCCCATTTATTCTAGTCCATCTCCCAGAAAGACTACAAACCTCTCTCGTTTTGGGGCAAAACGGCTCGGCCACAGGAATATGGCACACTCCTCTGGCACAGGGATGACTTCCATCATAGAAGGTCTGAGGCCTTATGGTGGTCCTACAACATAAAGTAAAAAGTTGTTTTTTAAAATAAAAGCTATCTCTCCATCTTCCCAGGGCTGAAGAAGCAACAGTATCTCGGCAACATCTTGATCTTCACTCAGAATCAATAGTTCTGGATAAACTAAAGGTTATTTAAAAAAAAAAAAAGAGGAGTTTCAGGATGGTATTTGGCTTTTTGGGCTCTGGGCTGGTGGTCACATGCTACTTAATAGGAATTAAAGTGTTCTCGGGCAGAAGGATGGGGCAGGGAAAGTCAGTGGGGGAGGCAGATAATCTACTGTCTTCTTCCAGGCGTGGGAGAGTAGAGGACAGTGTCTGAGAAGCAGTGTTACTGGTCCTATTTATACAGCTGCTGCGTCTAATCAAGCTGTGGCTTCTACTCCATCACACACTACCTAGTGACAGTAGCTGACACCTTCAGGAGCATTCTGCTCAGAAAAGAGACCTCTGTGCTCTAGAGGAAGGAAAACCTTTCCATCTGTACTTCTTCCAACTCTGTCATGTGCATCTTAAGGGAAAGGTTAAGTTAACCTCAAAGCAATTCCAGATGGGGTTGAAGAACAGGTCAAATGACTTCCTGCCTACATAAACAGAAGCTTTTCTTTTTTTTTGAAGATTGACCGATAAAAGGGTGCCACGTCCTAACTCTAGCTTTGGCTTGCCTTCAGCCTTCAGTGAGTCATGTATTAGCAACATCCCCACTGACAACTGTGATGATGAAAACTGGGTCATAAACACTTCCAGTGGCCATACCCCAATAGACATCCACGCAGTAACATCTCCATCTGACCTCTGCCAGTTTCCCATCCCACTCCTGCTTTGTTACTTCTTCCTTTCTCCTGAACTTTTTTTTTTTTTGAGAGATTTTTTGCTGTAGGATATGTACACTTGCCAGAGAGACAGAGAGACAGAAAGTGAGAAGTCACCACCCAGGGGAGAGGTCCACACTGCATTCCTTTCTCCTAAAGTCTCCTCTCAGGATTTGGGGCACGCATGCACACATGCCTGGCATGAGTTTGAAACCGCTGTGTTCAGGACTCGAACCCGTCGACTATGTGAGAATGACATATCCAGCTCCTTAACCATTGTGCTACCTGCTGGCCTGAACATCTTCATTTTTAATGTCAAATAATGTGCTTGTCCCAAGATGTCCACATGATCATTTTTGAACCTAAGAATATGCTGACTTATGTGGCAAAGCGGAACTGCGGTAGCAGATAAAATTAAGGTTATGAACAAGCTGACTGTAAAAAAACTGTTACTGAAGGTATGCTTTGTTCTCTTGTTTAACCCTCTAAAACCTTCTAAATAGCTAGGCAAGGAGACTAACTTTTATCTCCCTAGTAGCAGCAAATGCAGACTTGAGGGCCTGACTAACCTGGCTTGCCTTTCCCTCTACCTCACTCGTTATGTGCCTCTGGGAAGTCACTCTGACCTTCTCTGCACCTCGTTTCTATCAGTTTCCTCATGTTTAAAATGGGAATGATATCACTTACTATATTGGTCCATGTGAGGACCCACGAAATAACACAAAGCAAGTACATGGCAGAAGTGACTACCGTTTATGGAAAATCTCCACTGGACAGCTGTTCCATCAACCTCAGAGTATCACATGGGGCTCAAATCAAACATATCCAAAAACTGCTTGAGAATGTCAAGCAGGGATATGTGCTAAGAAACTTCAAAGAAGAAACTACCCATTGAAGAGTAAAGGGGACAAAATTATGTGGCATACTGGGGCAAGAGAAATGAACTCAAGATAAATCAAAGAGAACACTGGGCACTTTCAGACACAGTGGGGGAAAAAAGCCCAGAAAAGACTGACTCATAAGTCCCGGCAGCTGGAAAAACATGCTGGTGTGTGCATGCATGAGCTGTTTCTTTCTATTTTTTAAATTTTTGCCAGAGGGCCCAGGTACTCACCAGAGGGACAGAGGGAGAGGGGAAAGTACCCCGTAATGAGGCGTGATTATTTATGCTGCAATCCCTGGCCTCCATTTTCCACACACACATATGCGTGGCATGTATTTCACATCCCTGGGGGTCGGGATGCAAATAATGTGCCAGCTACGTGGAATCTGGCTTTCTTAACCAACAGCCTCTGAGGACAGTCCAATCTGTTTTTTGAATCAAGACACTTGAACTAGCTTGAAGATCACTACATATTAATATTTTCCTCTGAGGAAATGTGGAGTTGCAAACAAATTGAAAGAGAAAAAAAAAAAAGAAAAAAAGAAAGCACCTGTTGTACAATATACCCCTGAGGTTTCAGGCTATAAAAAGCCCTAGCAAACAGAAATGTGAGTCAAATGAACGTGCTGGCAGAGGCAACATTGCTTGTAAGGAAGGAGGTTTGGGGAAGTGATTCTGCCCCTGTCACAATCTCTAAATAGTGATATCCATCGATAGAAAACAATTTAGTTTTCTATTTTATCTAAAAAAATTTAATCGATGGACCAGCAGTTAGCGTAATGGCTATGTCACTGAACTCCCATGTAGCTGTCCGCGGTCCAAGTCCTGGACCTGGTGGCTTAAACTCACACCATGTGTGTGTGTGTGCGTGCGTGCCCAAGATCCCGAGAGGAGAACAGAGGAGAAGGGATTGCAGCATGGCAATCTCTCCGGGGGGGTGGGGGGTGGTGGTGATTTCTTGCTTTTTGGGGTGGTGGTGATTTCTTGCTTTTTATGTCTCTGTCTGTCTCTGTCTTTCTGGTGAGTACACCTGCCCTATAGCAAACACCTCTCAAAAAAAAATTTTTATGGGAACCAGCAGTTAGCGTAATGGCTATGTCGCTGGACTCCCACGTAGTTAACCGCGGTTCGCGTCCCGGACCCGGTGGCTTAAAACTCACGCCGGGCGCGTGTGCATGCGTGCCCAAAATCCCGAGAGGAGAATGGAGGAGAAGGGATTGCGGCGTGACCATCCCCCTGGGGGGTGATTTCTCGCTTTCTGTCTCTCTGTCTCTCTCTGTCTGTCTGGCGAGCGCACGCGCCCTATAGCAAAAATCTCTCTCTCAAAGAAAAAAAATTTATTGCTACATAGTGATTATATGTATTTGTGGGTTACAGTGTGATTTCTCAGCACATGAGTATAATGTATAATGGTGAATCAGGGTAATTAGCATATTCATAATTTCAAACATTTATTTCTTTGTGTTGGGAACAGTTAAAATCTTCTTTTAGCTATTCTGATATTATTGCCAACTATAGTTACCCTATTGTGCTTTAGAACACTAGAACTTCTTCCTCTTATGTACTGTAATTTTGTATCCATCAACCAACGTCTCTATTCCCCCTCCTCCATAAGGCCAGCTTTTAAGCTTCCATGTATGTGTGAGAACAATGCAATTTTTCTATTTCTATGCCTGGTTTGTTTCATTTAACATAATACCCTCCAGGCTCATCCATGTTGCCTCAAGTGACAGGACTGAGTGCCAAGATATGGGATCAACCAGTCCATGAACAGATGAAGACAATGTGGTGGTGGTGTGTGTGTGTGTGTGTGTGTGTGTGTATAAAACAGAATAGTATTTAGTCATTAAAAAGAATGGGACAAGTTCAGTTTTTAAGAAAAAGAAAATTAAAACTAATAAAAAAACCCTCCTTTTCATTAAAGCCTGAGCTGTGAGGGAAAGCAAGGGTGGTCTGCATATCAGGTTTGTTGAGGGCAGATGGTGTGATGCTGTCACAGCCACTGTAACACCTGGAGATCCTACTGCTAGGGTTTACCCTACAAACTTGTTCATTCAGATCTAAGCATAGTGGTACAAGGGTGTTAAGAAGTCAGTTAATAGACACAGGAAACTTGGGCCGGCCCTAATCCCAGGTGGTTAAGGCAACCAGATTTCACATGGTTGACGGCATGCTTGAATCCTGGCCTCAGCAGCTTGAAAAACATGCCAGTGTATACCTGCATGCCCCAAATCCCCAAAATTGGAGACATAGAAGAGGATCAGCTTGTAGCATGAAAGTTTCAAATCCAGTGGCTTGAAAAACATGCCAGGCACGTGTGTTTGTATGCCCAAAATCCTGAGAGGAGAATGAAGTAAAAGGGTTGCAATCCCCTGTGAAAGGGTTAAATGTTCCCACAGGGCCTTAGGCATGAATAAGCTAGGCAAGAAGACTAACTTTTATCTCCCCATTAGCCTTGGATCCCAGCAGCAAACACAGACTCAATGTCTTTGGTGCCTTAGATGTTTTAATTAAAAAGACCCATCTTAAGAAAAAAAAGAAAGTAGACACAGGAAACTGAAAACAACCAAGTTTCACACCTGTAAGTCTGCTTAGGTAAATTACGTATCTGTTAGGCAGAACATGGTAGGTGTCTGGGTACAGAGGTGGAAAGCTAAGGCATGAGGTTAAAACAGAAAGCAGCAAATTGTGAAATAGTTCTTATATCAGCACATGTAGATTTGATTTGTTTGAAGTGCTGCACAGAATGTCATTAATGCTCACTTATTATTCAACAAGTGTAATTAAAAATGTTAGAGCCAATGTCCCTACACAAGCTCTCCTGTACATGTTATACATGGAAATAACCAACTCTGCAGAAGTAATAATTAATAGTTTATTTCTCAACACGAATATATGCGACAAGCCCGGAGAAAGGTAAATATGCCTTTCTTGGGGTGATCAGACACAGGGGTTCCTTTTTTTTTTGGTTTTGAGAGTGAGAGACAAGATTTGGAATTAATTAAAAAATTTGTCTCATTTGTCTGGCCCAAAAAGGCAAGACATCTGGAAGTGAGTGAGGCCTTGTAGGTCATAGGTGAGTTTTATAATTCTTAGGTTGGTGATTAGAAAGGAAGGTTTTAGTAAGGCATCAGCCAAGAGTTACTTTAACAGAGATAAGGGTGCTTTTATACATCACAAGATACTGTTCCAAAAATAGGATGTAGGAAGAGTCCTGTTATCAATGAGTCAAAAGGTCTGTTAATGCTTGTGGGTACAATACACCCATCACAAAGATCCTATGTCAGGGACAGGATGTAGGAA